ATTTAAAAAATAAAAGTAAAAAATGTGAATATTACAAAACAAAATTTTGAAACATAAGACAACTAATACAATTAGCATTGCAAAATGGATGAACCTCAAAATCATTACACATTTTTCCAAACATAAAAGAACGTGCTGGGTGTGGCAGAATACACCTGTGGTCTCAGCACTCTGGGAAAGCGCGGCAGGGGGGTCACAAATTTGAGCCCAGCCTGGGTGACTTAGTGACTTCATGAGACCCTGACTCAAAAATAAAAGTGAAAAAGGGCAGGGATGTAGCTCAGTGTGAACACATTGGGGTTAATTCCCAGTAGCACAAAACACCCCTCAGCCCCACAGCCTGTACGGCTCTACTCGTGTGAAGTTCTGTGTGCAACAACACTGACCCATGGCGAAGGAAGTCAGGAAGCGCTGGCCTGGGAGAGGGAGGAGGAGAAAAGGGAGATGGGAAGGTTTCTGGAGACTTAGAGGCATTCTGTCTTTATCAGGCTGATATTTACATAGGCATGTTATAGCAGTCAGGGCTCAGCCAGGAAAGCAAAACGAATAGATTTATGGTGAGAGTTGCTACAAGAAATTGGCCTATGAACTGGAGGGCTGGCGGCAGGCAGTTCTGGGATTTGCGGGACAGGCTGTATTATGGCCGAGCTCTTTCACACAGGTTAACACGGTGCCCTTAGGTTTCTATCAGGGGCACAGTTAGCACAAACAGTCCCTCAGCTAAGCTGATGAAGCTCCCACAGATTTTCAAGTTGAATCCCTGTGTCTAGTTACTTTTCTCTCATTGCCGACACCCAAGGTTTGAGAGGGAAAGGATTATTTAGCTCAGTTCATAGGGGTTTCAGTTCATAATCGGCTGGCTCCAAGGCAGGATGGCTTCACAGAGAAGAAACAGTTCATGGTGGTCAGAAGGTAGCAAAGCAACAAGAGACCTCGACAGCATCTCCCTGCCCTTTTATCTTATCCAGACTACTTGGGGCAGGCAGCACTCATACCCTTAGTCCTAGTGCCCTTCCTTGAGCCAACCACTGCGTGAGTCAATCCCAGCATCACACCCTCTAGATCCAGCCACCTCTGAAAGAGCCCCTATGACTGCATGAAGCTTTGGGGGGGCGGTATCTAGACAGCTGCAACACCCTGGGACCTGTGAATTTTACTCTGATGGTCTGAATGTGTATACCCTCCCACCCCCACATCCAGGTGCCAGAATGGAATCACCAGGGTGACAGTACTAGGAAGCCTGGGCTTTTGGGAAGTGCTAAGGCCACAGGGGGGAGCACTCATGAGTGGGATCAGTGCCTTATTAAAAAGAAAGAAACCCACAGAGCTGCTTTGCCCCTTGTTTCCTGTGAGATACAGTGGTCATCCATGAACCAGGAAGCAGCAGACACTGAACCTGCTGATGTCTTGATCTTCGGTTTACCAGCCTCCAACCCTGTAAGAAATAAATGTATGTTGTTTACCAGCCAACTGGTTTATGGTGTTTTATCGTACCAGCTTGAACAGGCTAAGACTATAATCGTATTTGGAAAAATACCAACCTTTGCCGACATAATTAAGCCTTGAGATGGGACCATCCCTGATTACCTAAGTAGGCCCTAATCAGAAAGGTGTCCTCATAAGACAGCAAGTACAGTGATACAGACATAAGCAGGCCCACAAGGCACAGAAAGCAGTGGCCACGAAAGACTGGAGTGGCAAGAATGGAATCTCCTGCAGAACTTCTGCTGGAAACACCACCCTGCTGACACCTTGATTTTTGGCCTTCTGGCTGCCAGAATTTTGAGAGAATAAATTTCTATTGTTTCAGAACACCGTTTATGGTAATGTGTTGAAGCGGCCTATGGAAACTAATACAGTGGCTTAAAATGACACAAGTGTATTACAGTTCTGTATTCCACAAGCCCAACTCGAACCTCACTGGGTAGGTAACACTGCCCTATCGGCAGGACTGCTCTAGGAAAGCCTGTTTCTTGGCCTTTCCCAGCTTCTGGAGGCTGCTGACATCTTCAACTCCTACCCCCAATTGGATGTGGTGGTGCATGCCTGTAATCCCAGCACTCGGGAGCTGTACCAGGACTGCAGAGTTCGAGGCCAGCCTGGGCTACACAGAAAGTTCGAGACCAGCCTGAACCGCATAGAGACCCTGTCTCAAAAAGCAAAGGCAAAAGAAAAAAAACAAAGTATTGACTTACTTTTAATATCAATAATTACATTTTCTAAAGATACATAATTTTTATTTAAGGGTACAATATCATAAATCTACAGCTTATAGCAGGAAATATAAGAGTAAATAGCCTATGTATACCTTACATTATTTACACAATCTTATTTACACAACTCTATATACTTTCCAGAAAAAACACAGACTATTTGTCTGTTAACAACAGTTTTAAAAATGAACCAAAATAGGGCTGGGTATTTAGCTCAGTGATTCCTCCGCTTGCTTTGCAAGCACAAGGTCCCGAGTTCGATCCCTGGTCCAAAAAAAAAAAAATGAACCCAAAATAAAGATTCTCCTTTTCAGCTGCATATGCTAGAAATGTTCGTGTGTGAAGATGAAGTTTCAGGTATGGTACAGTGCAGACATTTAATTCTGTTCCATGCCAGCCATGAGTGACAGTGCCAGAGATTCCACTGTGGGGAGAGAAAAAAATAAAGTTTAAAAAATAGGTTTAAGGGTATTAAAGTGCGTGCATACGGCTGTAATAAATTCAAAACTGCAAAGCAAACACATGCCTTATGTCTAATTAACTACAGGTGTTTTTTTTATTTATTTTTTTGGTACCGGGGATTGAACTCGGGTCCTTGCGCTTGTGCAGCAGGCAGCGAAACCACTGAGCTACATCCCCGGCCCAACTACAGGTATTTTAAACGTATAATAAAGATGACCGTATGCAATTGCTAAATATAAACAGAAAAGGCATGATTTGTTTCTAGTTCTGACAGTTTTAATTTTGAAAATAAAAATTTTAGCTATTTTACTGGATGGGACACATTTGCCCCACACAGCATGAAATCTGGATCCAGGCCTGGAGACCCACGGTCAGGGAGAAGGGGCCGGGAGGGGGCGGGGCTCCGCTGGCACCGCCTCAGCCAGTGCACACAGGGAGGACGCACCACTGTCTCCTGCGAGGCGGGAATGCGGTGCATTTAAACCACTGACCACAGTAAGCGTCCAGAGATGGGGCAGAGTAGCCAAACACACTGGGGAGAGAGGTCACTTAGTTCTCTTTCCACAGACCAGCAGCGCCCTCTTCTCAGGGCTCATCTGGGAGCTGTTCCACACTGCTCTGACCAGCCAGGAACGCACTACCTTGTGATAAGAAGCAGCTTTGGAGTTTTAAAGTTGGCTTAAAAATCCGATCTTTCGGGGCCGGGATTTAGCTCAGTGGTTCCACTGCCTGCCTCGCAAGAGCAAGGTCCCGAGTATGATCCCCAGTACCAAAAAAAAAAGCCTATCTTTTGGAGAGAAACAGTTACATAGGCTACACACAGCAGTGACAAATCAATCTCCAGCTGTTCTCTTTTAGGTTTAGGAAGCCACTGGTATAACACATGGTACCATAGAAAGCAAGATCTTGGGGCCGGGGATTTAGCTCAGTGGTTTCGCTGCCTGCTGCGCAAGTGCAAGGACCTGAGTTCGATCCCGGTACCCCCCCCCCCCAATGTAAGATTTTTAGTTCTACAGTCCTAGTGATTTATATTTTATAATCACTCACCTCCCTGTAATTCTGAGAAAACAAAGAATAGCACAACTGCTAAGAGACTTTTCAGTTTTGGAAATGGTGAGAAATTTAATTTTTTCATGTGATCAATAAGACAATGACACAACGACTTAGCTACAGGAAAATGAACATGTAGCAACCCTGCAACCTGACATACTCACAATGGGGAAAAGATCCTCTGCAGACAGCTTTGTTTAAAATGGTTACAAGAAACATATGGCAATTCTTAAAATCAGACTCCATTTTCTCTATAGATTCCATTCTAGGAAAGAAAGCAAATTTCAAATTACATAAGTGCACACGGTCTAACAGGTTAGCTACAAGATATCTCTGAAGTAATTCCAAATATGTTTTATAATTATTTAAAATCCTAAATCTGAAAATTATAAAGCAAATACATAAAACATCCTGCTTTACTTTAAGATAAAAGGTCCATAAGATACAAAACTATGCTTTTTTCAGATAGTATTTACTTCTGGAACTATTCCTTTTTTTCCCTTTATACAATTCTGCATTTTTATTTATTTTTGGTTTTTTGAGACAGGGTCTCACGTTGTAGTTCAGACCGGCCCTGAACTCACTATGTAGCCCAGGCTGGCCTCAAACTGGAGGCAATCATCCTGCTTCAGCCTCCTGAATGGTGGGATTATGGGTGTGAGCCACTATGCCCAGCTGTATTTTTAGTTTTTACAAGCATATATTCTCTGAAATAAAGAACTTTACATTTACATTAAGAATATACAATCCTGACCGGGGATTTAGCTCAGTAGTTCCGCCGCCTGGCTCGAAAGCACAAAGTCCCGAGTTTGATCCCCAGTACCTCCCCCAATAAAAAAAATAAATAAACAAGAAGTATTATATAAGAACATAAAATCTGGACTGAGGATGTAGCTCAGTGGTACTGCGCCTGCCTGGCAAGCATAAGGTCCTGAGTTCAATCCCTCCTGGTACCAGAAAAATAAATAAATAAATAATATTTAAAAAAGAATATAAAATCCTTAAATTTGCAACTACAAAAAAGTTTTTATCGTCTGTGTGTATGTGGCACTAAGAAGTGAACCCAGGGGCTGGGGATTTAGCTCAGTGGTTTCACTGCCTGCTGCGCAAGTGCAAGGACCCGAGTTCGATCCCCGGTACCAAA